ATGCATAATAGTACTTGCACCCAGATCACTGTTTGTGGGAAACATAGTTGTTGAGGATGGTGTAATTTTTGCATAAATGGGCATAAACAGGAGCATCCGACTGCTCCTACCATGCATATTTATAGAATGATCATGTAAAAATAAAAATCTGTATTTGTGCTTGTAAGCATGGCTACCATCCAATGTCTGTGGCCTCCAAGGCATAGCATTGACTTATCTTCTCCTAGAACAAGTGTGATGGCATATTTATTTGAACAGTAAGTGGTTTAATATTTGGCTTGTGTAAAATTGATGCAACCATCTATTTTAAAGCCATTTGAAACAAGTGTTGATCATACCACCAGCACCACCCTATGGTAAGAAAACCAGCACCACCCTATGGTAAGAAAACCAGTGGTTGAATTAGTAAGCCGGCTCACTGCAAGCAATATTTACTCTCAATTAATGACAGTCTGTAGTGTCTATAATTAGGTAAAATCAACTGCATGTGATTTTTAACTAATGAGCCTTTCTGAGCAACCTTTCATCTGCAATCAAACATGTTTCAGTAGAACTCTTTGCACACAGTAAATAATCATTCTTGGTTATTTAAATATTTCAAGTGGAATTCAAGCCAGAATTTTCTTTCTCTATAGAGTGGAGATGGATCAGATCATCTGCCAGGCTAGAATATCTAACATGAATATACGTGAAAGAAGCCTTATCCTTTGGGATAATGTTGGTGTAGTAGAAGCAGTCACATGTGCATGTTGTCATCATATGGCCAGATTTACCATCCTGACTGTATTAACTGTGCACATAATCAGGATATTGAGCTGTTTACTGCACAAATAGATTATTGGATTATTAGGTTTAAAATTACGATTGCCTGGTTTATGGGTTTCCTTTTCTCACATTTTCTTTTCTTTTTATCATCTCGTGCATCGGATAAACATTCTGTACGGTTAATACTTTGTTAATGTTGGTAAGCCTGATGACCTTTAAATACCATTGATATAGCTTGAGGCATCTTATATATGACATACACCTTGTACTTCCCTTCTTGTTTCAGTGAAGTCAGCTAACATTTTTGTTCAGAATTTGCTTGTTTCATGCAGTCACAATGACTATATGTCAGAGTAAATTACAGTTGATAGATACTGCTTAATGACAAGTCTGTTTCAGGTGAAAGATAACAGAAGCTATGGTTTATTTATCAAAATGAAATCATCTTATGCAAGTCTAGCAAAAATACAACAGATCCTTTTACATATGAGGTTAGTAAAGGAATCTGTATTTTAAAATGAAAATCCCCCCTCCCCCCCCCCTAGCCGACGTGTCTATTGGACATGACATACCCCTTCTTTTTCTATATAGGTATTGTTTCTTTCTCCCGCCCCCTAAAAATAATGTTGCTTGAAGGAAGCTGCTTTTTTTCAGTAGAGCTGGAAAGATGGGTTAGGACCTCTGTTTTTGTCTTTGTCCGCACTGGGAATATTTGGTCTCTTGATTTTAGTCTCACTGTCCTATCCTATCATGCCCTCTTACCAACACCCTCTCTCTCCCCATCCAAACAGTACTTCACTATGATTGTCCATCATGCCCCCTCACCAATAAGCCTTATAGACCACTAGAGGGAAGAGGCCTCACTCTGACTCTTTTAGCTTGGGGGTGTCATCTGAAGTTCAGCTATTGAGTTTTGTATACAGAGTGCTTTTTTTTGCAAAGCAGTTAAGATTAGCTTGATAAACAGGTGAAATGAAGCCAGCTAGATCTAGACTTCCTCCCAGCCTTAAAAAAAACAGTTCTTACACGGATACGGTCACAGAACAAATATAGGGCCAGCCATTTCAGCAATCAGTCCTCCTGGTTTTCTATTATGAAATTATCCTCAGATCCTGTTCTGAGCAAGTTAGGTTTATGGACATGGTGACAGTTGACACTTGATGCCCTTCGAGTAAGAATGTGACTGTCCCGATTAGGGGTCAATTGATATGTTTTTTTTTAGGACCAATGCCGGCTGTGGAATCCAGCTGCTGACAGATGATTGGGGGAAGGGGGGGTGGAGGACTGGGACGGAGGCTCCCATTCACTGTCAGTATCGGTCAATTTAAGAATGATACCGATACTTTAAAATGTTGTAAATATCAGCTTCGATTATGGGTAGATCCAATATTCTGTGGACCCTCTCCTTTTGTTATTCCCTCCTATTAGCAGCTGATGCGGCTGCACCTTTACTCTTTCTTGATAGATGGTAGATGGACCTGGGTTGGGACTTTACCTCAGAGATCCCCGACATCTTGCATATGCAATAAAATACAGGAATCTGGCTGTAAAATACTCACCCATTGGTACAGGACCCCCCATGTTCTTTTTCTGGACTCCATGGATACCTGTTGGCACTGTGGGTCCTCCCAATAGAACATGTTGCATGTTTTCTGGTCTTGTCCTGCCCTTTCCAACTTCTGGAAGCAAGTCTGAGAGGTCATTCAAAAACTCTAAGATGCATTCGTCCCTGATGACCTAGCTTTTTTCTTGTTATACCACAATAAACTTTCTTTGAAGAGTTACAAATCCTCCCTACTCATTCATTTGGTTAATGCAGCCTGGGTTTGTATCCCCATTTAGTGGAAACAATGCACCTTCTACAATTCGACTCTGGTTCCAGAAGATCAATGGCATCAAAATCATGGAAGATCTCATGAGTTCTCTTAGGAGTACCTAGATGCAGTTTTTCCCCTCTTGGCATACTTGGACATCATTTTTGGACTCGTGGGAATATGAACGACTTTGGACTCTCAATGTCTGAACTTGGCTTACCACTTTAAGCACTCATAGTTCTTCTGCCCCCGGAACATCCTCCCTCTCTTGCCCTTCTCTTTCTCCTTTCTTCTACATGTCCACTGGCTTTGCGTGCCCACCTGTTTACCTGACCTTTTAGTGTGCTCGGCATGTTCCATGCTCCGTCTGGGTTCTCTTGTTCCCACTCTACTTGTTGCATCTACCAGCTGAGTCAGACACCGGACCCCTTGCGCCGTCACATGCTACTAGCTTCCAACGTTATGTTTTTTGTACAAGATTTTCTGATTCATGATCTAAGATACTTGTATATGTTTGAATGGTTGGCTTCAGGACCATTTGGATCCATGTTTTTGTGTTTTTTTTTGTACTGCCTCTATATCACCTTTATACCTCTCTGTGAGTTTTCTTCACCTAATTTTCTGTGTATTGTAATTTTGCAATGGCACAACTCAATGTGCTTATTGTTGCTCTTTGTCTCTTGTTTTTTGTTATGTACCATATTTTATAAAGGCCTTACATTTTTTTTTCTAAAAAAGAAAAACAAAAGAAGCCTAGAGCTTCACCTTCTCCCTTGAAAACCTAGATGGAGTGTTTCATAAATACCTAAATAAAAATAATTTTCAATGTAATTTTTATTATACCACAAATATAGAAAATATATCAATATTCTATACATTCCTTTTAAAGGAAACCTGTGCCAAGAGAAATTTAGTGGCTGGCTTTGCTGACCTCTAAAAATGCTGGCTACCTCTGGCTTTAACACTTTGGGTCACTGCCTCTGGACACGTATGCAGGAAATAAAGTCAGAAGTCCTGATCTGAATACTTGTATCTGGGCAGTGTCTTAGGAATTGTTAGCACCGTTGGATGAGCACTGGCAGCCTGCATTTTTCTGTCTCTCCAGAATTCCTCAAACTATGCAGCTATACTCTAGTCATAAGCCTAATACTACACATAGTATCAGGTCAACCATTGTTTCAAATTGTGCGTGTGAAGTAATTTTCTGTGTGTCTGGTGACATCTACTGGATACATTGGAAATGAGGGACTATTATGGTCAATACCTTGTGCTTTAGAAAGCTGCACAAATGCATTGTTAGGATTGTGGTGTCAACATGGTATGAGAAGTGTGCTCATATGTCAGGGTTTTCTAGCTTTCTTTTTATGTCGTATTAAGAATTTGTCAGGCCTACATTGGCCAATATTCAATTATATAAAATGTTGGCAGTATGCACATGCCATGATGGAAATAATGCTGTCCTTAAAGTAACAGTATAAAATGGGAATATAACTATGGTTTACCATATATTGCAGCTGAATCTTTAAAATGAAATCTTAATCTTATCTTACATCGAGGCTGATAAGCTGCCATTTACGTTATTATAAGCTGACTTTTTCAGTGACATACCTGTGCTCTCTCTAGGCATCAATTTGCCCTTGATCATGTTTCCTCTCTGCCAGTAGCCTATCTACCTGTAAATTAATCTCTTTCGGTATTGTAGATTCAATTGGTATAGGCTTTTAAAGTGACCCTGTCACCACCAGTGCCAATTTTACAAAACAGGTCACCCGTTAATATAGTTTGTCGGCAACCACTACACCTCTGCTCCCCAGCTGTTGCATATATTCAACTGTCTGATGAGTGGAATACTCGCTCCCCCCATCGGCTGCTGTGGATAAACCCACAAATATGCATGTCCTATAGTGGCACATGATCCGGCAGGGGAAACCACAGAGGCTGGACAGGAAACACGTGTTCTACACATTTGGAAGTGTACTTCTAGAATACTTGCAGCAGCTGAGGAGTGGAGAAGAGACTTCAATATACAGGCTGCTGGAAAGGTAAGTATATAAATGTGACAGGTTGTTTGGTGACAGGGACACTTTACAGTTAATACTTTGTAATTACCACTAAAAGATGATTTGCTAGCTGTAAATAATGTTTTTTGATCTGAACACAAAAATGCATAGGCAGCGATCACTTCATTTGAAATGATCAGCAGATCCTGAGATTTAGGCAGCCCAATTTATATGCAGGTTTTGAGCTTTAGAGAGAATTTTGCATCTCAGTGGGAATTTTTGTATTGGGACAACCATGATTCAACCATTTCAGGAGGTGGGCAGATCATGGCCCCAGGGCCATAGGTCATAAAACCATAATTATACATAACATGCAGCTAAATGATATTTAAAACTAATAACAAATATTTTTTTCCAACAGAGGATGTACTCAGTAAAGATGCTGGAGAATGTACAATATGTCTGGAAGACCTACAACAAGGTGATACAATAGCCAGATTACCTTGCCTATGTATATATCACAAAGGGTAAGTATTTTTCTATTTATAAAATATAAAATCAACATTAACTTTGGAACTGATTTATAATGCGTTTGCACAGTACATATAGCTGTTGGAACAACAATTGAAGCACATTGCTGCTACTAGATAGAGCCAAGGAGCATAGGACATTTCTACAATCTGTGCAAATGTGTTATAAATAAGCCCCGTTGTGTTACAGTGAATTGCTAGTAGGGATTCGCCGATACCGGTTTTTCGGTATCGAGTACGAGTACCGATATTTATGTTTTGGTACTCGCCAATATCGGTACTTCCGCTTGCATAGAGTCGGCTTCCCGGGCAATCACCTCTCATCATAAAAAACAATCCTGAAAACTAAACTCTACTAGGAAAACCGTTAAATATACAGATGAAATACATATATGGGTGCTGTTTTACCTGCCAAAGTACTTGTAATTCTGTCCATCCGGTCAGGGCAGAGTAGGAGACCCGATTTTTGTCTGCTGCAGTTACGTTACAGGTTTTGCCCCTCCCCAGCCTGTGACTGGACAGTGAGGAAAAAGCAGCAAACTGATGAACTAATCTCACTCTGCTCTCCCCCCCTTTAGCATGTCTCTTGTTACCATGTAAGCTCTGCAGCTAAGATGATTGACCTCTGTGTGCTGCTTCTCATTTTCCCAGTTTGAGCTTTACTGTATACAGGCAATTTTTTGTTGCCCGACTCTGTACTCTGGATCAAGGGCGTCCCGAGGCTGAGTGACACACCCGAAGCGGTAACCTAGTGTCACCCCGCCGAGACGTCATCGTGTACGTGCGGCGGTCTTTTGGTATCCTGCCGGCGGCCATCTTGGTGATGGACGCTGGCAGAGAGAGGAGGGGACAGTCACCCGGCGGGATAAGGTATGCCGCCGGGTCCCCTCCTCTATCCTGATACCGGCTCCCCTCCTCTCTCTTGATATTTTCAGAGGGGGTGACACCAAAATGACTGTGAGTCATTTTGGTGTCACACCTCCAATGGTGTCACCCGGGTGCGGGCCGCACCCCCCTTGTGACGCCACTGCTCTGGATTCGATGTTATCCGTATTTATTGTAACTAGGCACAGTATTCTAAATGAGGTCAATCTAAATATCTATATAAGTGAATCAGAACCTCCTTCCTCCTGTTGGTGATCCCCTTAGAATTCTGGGGTACATCACTATTTGCTTCCCCCACTACCAAGCTACACTGTTTGCTCATTTTGCAATCGTCACCAAATCTATTTTTATTTGTAGTTTCGTCAAAACATCACTGCACACTGCCTCAGTAATCCTCCTAAGAGCCCCCATCCCTGGTGCAAGCAGTGGGCTGGCTCTTGTGTGGAGTTAAGCAAATACCAAACTTCCTTGATAGGAATTTTTCTGACAGGGAGGTTTTCCGGTCAGAGAGAGATTTTCCAACATAATAGACAAGGATTTTCTGACAAGTGCTTTCCCCACTGGTTGGGTCTGTAGCATTGCATGTTTTTATGGGGTGATGTATTATCATCCACATATCATATCTGAATAACGAGGTCCAGCATACCAGGTTTTGCCTGTCATAAAGCTGTAAATGAAATTTGAAGCTGTCACCCTGGTTTTGGCAAAGACAAATGTAGGTGTAAGTGTCTCCATTTGTTATACAAGCTGCCAGTAAGAGTTGAAGTCTTTAGAATATACTGTCCCTTCTATAACAAATTAGAATATTATTAGTTGACAAAGCGTGCCTATTTTAATTGGTTCATTAACACTGATGACATTGAGAATTCATATTATGATGTTAGAGAGCTGAATGTGTGTGAGGAGAATAGGAAGCCAAAATGAAAGGCTCAGATTGTTAATGAAACATTCCAGATTCCTGAAGTATCACACCAACAACTCTTTGATGGCAGGAATAACACTATAAAATGAGGACCTACTGAAATCAATGACAACAACCATTTATTAGGTCCATCTACTAGTCTGATCTCCTCTTTCACAACATCGTGTTTATTGTCAGCACAGCTTACTCATTTAAAGCGCTGAAAGCTCTAGTTCCATCGTAGAAGCTTAGAAGTTATGTTTCCTGCTTGGGTATGCCATGCTGATCAGGAGGTGCGGTCACTTCGAGGAGCAGAACCTCCAGCTTCTCACAATGCTTTGTGACAGAGACCTAGAAGCTCAATTAAAACAGTTTCTTTCTAAAGTTATAAGGAAGGTAGTGAAACTACTGCTTTAATGTTTTGCATCATCCTACCTAACCATATCTTTCTACATGCTCTTTTGTTTCTTTCAGCTGTATAGATGAATGGTTTGAAGTAAACAGATCTTGTCCGGAGCATCCATCGGACTAGAGTCTGAATGACCCATACAATAGGTAAATTGCAAATAAAAGGTGGCATTATTCTGACTAGACATGGCAAACATCCCTCATGTCATACACTATAATAGCAGTTTCTGTAATGCTCAATATTCTGTATAAAGCCTGCACCTATTGCAGGAAAAGAGTGTTACTTTACCCCACCCCCAACAATGTCTTCCCCTGTTACTATGTACATGGACAGGCCAGGTTGTCCACTCTACTCTCCACTCAGGGAACCTCCTGGCCAGTTTTCATCCCCACCAGCAGCAACTGGTTTATGTTGGCTATGCAGAAACCTGCCCTGCCTATATAAGTAAACCAAGGTATTACTGTACTATGTTGGCCATGCAGAAATCTGGCCTGCCTATATATCCTAATGGCAGTACTATGCTGGCCATGCAGAAATCTGGCCTGCCTATATATCCTAATAGCAGTACTATGTTGGCCATGCAGAAACCTGCCCTGTCTATATATCCCAATTGCAGTACTATGTTGGCCATGCAGAAACCTGCCCTGCCTGTATAGCCAACATAGTACTGCAATTAGGATATAAAGAATCCTGCGCTGACTTTATTTCCTTATGGCAGTGCTATGTTGGCTATGCACAATCCTGCCCTGATTGGTGCCTCTGTGCCCTTCCACGTTGTTGTTTTTTTCATATTCTCTTTTTAAAGCTGAACTCCAACCAAACAAACAACTAACAGATAAAATACATACTTGTATATAAGAGCTGTTTAACCTGCCAATGTATTTGTATTTGTCCATCCCCTCCTGAGATATACACATCTCTGCTACACACGCACGCATGCAAGCACGCACACACACTTTGCCTAGAGACCTGACTTTTAGTTCATATTAATAATTTGGCATGAAATACTGTATACAGTATGGTAAAACACAGCAATACTCTAGTGACAACGGAGTCTTCCTGCAGATCTTCAGTGCCAGGTTTGTGGTGCTCCTGACCATAGTGGAACACATTTCTGAACAGAGTAAAAACAGACTTTGAAATAATTTTTTATTACTTTCTACACAGATTTCTATGTGTATTTAATTGGAACTTTGCAGCATTTTCTGCTAGGTATCACTAAGCAGTGATGGCGCTGTCATATTGGGGGGCATGTATCAAGCAAATTAACAACATAGTCAGTTGCAAATCAGACTGCCTCTCCTTCAGAAAAGGGGGAACACATGTCTCATCCCAAATAACTATGGGTCCATCAGTGGCTCCGTCTTCCTGATTGAATGATGACCAGTGTCATTCATCCCACCTCCTATGAACCCAGGCTGTCATGGACCTCTGTGGCACCTTGTGACCACTTCCAGAGAACAAAATATATGACCAGTGACATCACGGAACTGGCCAGAAGACTTTTAGGAGAAAGCTATGAATGTCTGAAAACAAGCAGAGCAGAAAGGCTAAATTGAACGTTGGATAGATAAGTTTGCACTACCTGCATTGATACTTTCACATAAATGCCCATAAATGTTGTTATAGCTTGTTTACACATCTCGTGTATTTTCATTGTATTGGTCAATCAAATCTTTAGTGTTTTTCTTTTCTTCCTCTAGCTTTATTTCCCTGCTTGTATGAACTGTGTGACCTGAGGAGCGGACATCTACAGCGGCTACAGAGAAGGCTTGTGTAGGCCTCACCGCCTTAGAACTTTATGATATTTGAACTCTAGATTTGATGGAAAAGAATGAAGACAATTTCCTCAGAGTTCTGTGTGCCAAACATTCTCCATGAGGACACACACAGGGATTTTCAAAATGCTGCACAAAAAACACTTTTGTGCCCTGCCATTCCTAATGATGAACATTGCATAATATAGGCCAAAGTCAACTTATGTCCCCACATTCATTTTTTAACATGCTTCTAGCCTGGCGCCAATAGAACTTTTTCTTAAGAAGATTCATCTATAGGATCTTGGACTAGGTTGGGATGAGGACATCTCTAAGAATTTTTTTTTCTTTTAATCTTGATATATATATATATTTTTCTTTTTAGATGCCAAATTGAAATCAAAACAGTTTATGGTTTTACGGTACAGATTCGGTTTTTGTACTTCGAAAAAAGATAATGTGAAATTGTACAAGTGTTTCTGCTTCAGTAGTGTAAGAGTTCCCACATCTACCATTTTCTGGTGTCCGTTCAGTGTGTGACTACTTGGACAGCCACCGAATGCCTCAACAGAACATATCTTCTTACTGATTAACCCTTTCATCTCAGAACACTTTATCTGGGAACCATGGCCTGTGACTGAGCGGTGATGACAGGCATTGACTTGTATATATGGTTTTCTTTTTTTTCACAATCAGTCAGGGAACATAAGCCATCAAAGTGCCATTAAACATGAAGCCAGTTGGTCTGTTTACACCCGTTGGCAAAATACTGTATGTAATACATACATACAAACTCTTGCTAGTGAAGTTGTATGATAAGCAGTTGTATCCATCTTAAACCGATTCAGTTTTGGTCGAGGTTGTTGTATCCATCTTAAACCGATTCAGTTTTGGTCGAGGTTGTTGTATCCATCTTAAACCGATTCAGTTTTGGTCGAGGTTGTTGTATTTTGTAACAGCTGGCTACTATTTCTAGTGACTCTATGGCCAAGATATGGACATTTAAGTATATATATATATTCTTAACAAACATTATACGAGCTTTAAACAAGTCATCTCTATAGCTGCAGGCACTGTGGAGCAATTCATCCTCAAAAATCATAGCAGAATTACGGAAGTCAATTCTAGTTGGTTTCTGAACTAGAATTGGAGGATGCCTACAGCTGCAGAGATCGGTGAAGGCTTGTTGTAAAGCTCATTTACTGCTTGTTAAGAATATGTAAGTAATTGAATGTTCATGCCCACAGGTTCACTTTAACCACTTCGTGGCCATGAAATATTGTCTCAAATATACCTGATCTTTTTCTTGATTTTATTTGAATATTGTGATCACACAGCCCCTGGAGGTATACATTAGTTATTACTACAGGAGCAGCAATACAATATTACTTTGTTCAGCATAATTCTAAATGAAAAATGCTTCAGTAAGGAGAGGAGGGAATGGTGCTAGGAATTTAAGGGAAGAGCTCTCCACTGTGGAAATACTAAAGTTTTAGCATATCTGCATGTTGTACACAGAAGTGTTAGTCTCAAATCATTCATAGGATCAAAGACTAATTGATCTTTCAAAGTTTGATCTTTGAAATGTTATCACCTGTATATTTTTGTCAAATTTGTTCAGATCTTTGTGTTGTAAAAAAAATGGCTCAATATTCTTCAATGGTCTCTGGTGCCATCAAAGTGGGTTGTGTGACACTCTCTTTTTTTGTCATTAAGATGAGCTAAAATCTTCCTTTGAGGCTAAGCATTAATGGAAAGCTTGATCAAATTTACCATCATGCCTGCTCGCCTTATAATTGCAGAATCTTTCACTGGACTTGGTAAGCCGCTACGATTAGCATAAATACCTTTTAACCAGCTTAAAAAAATAAATAAGAAAAATCTGTAATTATTAGAAATAAGGTCTGTTTGTGTATGGGCAGAGCATCAGGATGATAAAACCTAGAAAAAGGGAAATGGGATTGCTAATAACAATCTATATTTCAGGTGTGACTATTCTATAGTGAAGATCTGACCCTAGACTGGCTGATAAGGGCATTACCCCCAGTTTTCCCTCACCCTTTGTGTGGAGGTTGCTGTATATGGACAGATTATTTTTCAGATCATCTATAAACCGTGACCAAGAAAGATTTCTGATATTCAGCTTTCAAATGTTTTCTGTAAGTAATTTTAAAAGGGAGAAAAATGGGTATTAAATCCTAATTATTAGTCCACATAAAATAAATAAATAATACACTGACTTGTAAGTATAGTTGCAATGCTGAACAGAAAACAAGTAATATGCCCTAAATTGCTTTGCTAAAAACTTGGCAACCGTAAATAATCAAATCACTTTTAGTTAGTGTGACTGCACCCAAGTGTTAAAAGCTTAGTCTTGATTGGTTGCTATTGGTTATAGAGTTTTTTTTTACTTTATACACCTTAAAATTAAATAAATTACACTGTCTGGCCATTGAATGAAGCAACTTTTTTTTATTTTTATATCCACTGATCCAATCCCCCTCATGTGACACTGTAGGCTGTCCTATGCCATGTCTTGACTAGATTATTACAATAAAGTAGCTGTCCTCTGCCACATCTCACATAGAGGTACGGCCGTGACCTTTGACCTACTCCAAACCAGCTATAACTAAGAAAATGTATTGTTGCTTCATAGTTCCTTTTTTTTTTTTTAGTAACTACTGGGGTGCACTCGGCCATCTTACTATTAAATCAGTCATTAATGGACATCAGTTAGAAAAAAACTAATCTGGAAACTTACACAATGTTGGGTTATGAGCACTATTCTTATTTTAAGGTTACAAGTCTATTTGCCTCCATTAAAATTTCTAAGAAAAATTTTGGATGGATGAGGGTTCTCCATTGTGTACAGCTGCATTGTGTGCAATGGGTTGTTAGTGCTCAGAATACGCAGCAGCAAAAAAATAGATCTCAGTACACAGTGTATTCCCTTTCCTTATTTATAAATGAAATTGAAAAAGTTCAACCTTACTGCTTATAACTGAAAAACAAAATGTTCCCTCTTTGTTTACTGAACAGTGTGTTGCCAGTGGAGGAGCTGCTAATTGATGTAAAGGCATCAATCAGCGTACCTATAAAGCAGTGATTCCATTGTGTTCTGGCTTTCCCAATTCTGTTTGTTATACCAGCAGTTCTCGGCAGCCTGGTGTGTCGGTGGCCGAGCTGTAACGTTTTTCATGTACTAGAAAAGGAAGCAAAGTGCTTCCAATTAATCTCACTTAGTGACTAGTATAAGTTCAGTGATTCAAGATAAATCCTCAATACTGCATCTTAATCTGTCCATCTTCATAAGATATAAAACAAAATACTGAAATACATTGCAGGAATATTCTATCCCTCACAGTCCTTTATAACCCCTTTTTCAGGCATTACCAGAACACCTTTTTTTTTACAAAATAATATTGTTGCGTCTCTGAACCAAAGACAGCGGGCTGTACTGATACACCATACTGCCTCTTAACAACAAACAAATGGAATGCAATAAGTGCATCATAGGGGATGGAAGCACGTTCTTTAAAACCAGTATACTGTATGTATGTCATATTATACAAAACCAGTTCTAGCAGAATCTAGGAGCTCATTATTGCATCATAGAAGAGGATTCATTAATATGGCAGTGCAGAGGGTAGTGATAAGGTCCAAAGTGCAATAATCAACAGCAACCAACCCATTATATTGTAATACTTTTAAAGGACAATTATTATTTTGTTTAATTATGCCTTAAAATGAAGTGTGGGAAGTAAATAAAGAACAAAGGCTGTGGCAGTCAGCTCTGAGTATACATCTGTGGTGGGGGAGAGGGGATCAGTTATCTCTGGGCAAAGCAGAGCAAAAACTCTGTGGTTCCCCTTCCCCTTGGTGCCCTTAGCACATGCTTATTTTGCTGAATGGTTAATCCAGCCCTGCCTGTGGAGGACAAAGCTAAAGGTTTGTGTAATTTCCTTCCTCCCCAGCAGTACATATTTATCTTATATAAGCTCTCCCCCCGGTATGTTTTCGCAATTGAGAGTGTTAGGATTGTGGTGTGGGCCCGAAGTGACGAGGAGGACCTCCCTTGCAACCCCGTCTGATGACCACTGGGGTTGAGAACAGTGTGCTCAGGCAGGGGGTGGCGGATGCGGATCCTGGGTCACACGGTTGATTGGCGACCTGACAGAATAGTCAGTCGTGCTTGAAGGGGTAAGCCAATGGTAGCGTCAGAGACCAGCCGGGTCAATAACAGTAATAGCCAGTAACAATAGGATAGGGACAGGAGCAAGGCAGGGCAAAGTCGCCAGTAGAACAGGAACAGGGACAGGAGCACAGCAGGGACCTCCAGCGCTGGCTGAAGATCACCTAGCACTGAATGCGGTGCTTAATATAGGCCGAGGATGCGCTACTGCGCATGCGCCGGCGTGATGACGTCACCGGGCCGTATCGTCGCGATGACGTCATGCCGCGCGGGGCGTGACCCGCCGGACCTTCTGGCATCTGCGCGGCCGGGACGTGCCGGTGGACGCCCCCTCCGTGTGCGTCCCCGCACAGGGACTCGGAACGGGGTTCGGCATGTCCCACGGACCAGGACCTGACAGAGAGTAATGAGAGAAAAGTACTGTCATATTGGAGAAAGGGAAGTGAGCCACATGCTTCCTAATACTTGGGTCTACCAGGTATTTCTCTTTACTCCTGTTGGCTGAAAGGAGCAGCA